CAAAAACAAAAAGTTTTCAAGCAAAAATCATCTGAACAAGTTAAGATGTTTTCTCAAAATAATAATTTTGTTCAAAATAAGTCCACTCAAAAGTAAAATGATTTTACAAAGGGTCAATCTAATGTTCACAAATCAGTTCGAATACCAATTGTTCAAAAACTAAGAAATGAAAATTTTGTACAAAACCAACGTCCAAGGAATTATGTTTCAAATCCTCAAAATGAAAGGTTTTCACAAAACAACTTTCAAAGAAATGTTGTTCACCCTCATGAACAAAGAAATTTTCATCAATTCCTAGAACAAAGAAGTTTTTCACAATAACAAAAGGTTTTCATCAAACATCGGTTGGTTATAATAAGCAGTATCAAAATCGATTTCACAATACTCCGAATCAAATGTTTTCAAAACAATCATTTCCAAAGTGAAATTTTGAAAAACTGGAACTTAAAGGAAAGAAACATGAACCATAATAATTTAGTTTAGCGCTAATAATCTATTTTGTTTTTGCTTTTTTTTTTGTTAAAACCCACTTGAAATTCAATTTTTTAAGAAATAAAATCATGTTCATCATCGACATTTGAAAAATAGTTGTTTAACCATTAAAAGGTACTAATGATACACATTACGCTCTGGACCATTCCAGGCCCGATGCTTGAGTTTTTTTTCATATGGTTTTGTGATTTAGGTTAAAAAATGTTCATGTTAAGGTAAATCTACTAATTTGATATATACTTTGGTACTTCAGTTATGAAGCAATTTTTTATTATTTTTTAATTTCTATCTATGTCAGGGGATCAATCAAAGAAGGATGGTATGATGGTGGGAGCATAGCTTTGTCCGTTATCATTATTATCGTAGTTACAAGTACTTTATATATTGGGAAAATTATGGATAATAGTAACGTACTTTTCCCTCGCTACTGATATGGAAATCACACTTGCATTTTTTTTACCGATAATACCAAACTACTTAATCTTTTACCTATAAATGCTACCCATATGAGTAAGGAATTATAAGTACAATTTTATTTTGAATAATTCATCCTACTTCTTCAGTTCAGTTTATGCATCTTTATTAACGTAAGAGTTGTTAGGACAAATAGCGATAAAATGGTATAAGTCATTTTTATGCAACCTATCTTATTATATTTAGAGAGGTTTAAGGGAATGAAACATGTGTAGCTAAATTTGATAGCAATGTTTTGGTTATATAAAAGAAAGAATATGAAGTTTGTTAATTTGTCGAAAATGAATAAAATTAAGAAACATTTAATTTTTGATTTGATTTTCCATTTGCAAATGGATGAAAAACTTTAACAAAATATCTTCATAACTATTAATTAGCACATAAAAACATCATTGTGAGTATCATATGAACTCTTTTTTTAGTGCAAACAAGACCTTTCTATCATAAATGACTCGGTTCAAAATCGGGTTATGTTAGCAGTTATAATAACCCCTTGGAATCAAACCCGGTTGCAAAGCCGTGTTATTTAATTGATTTAACCAAGTTATTTAACCCTTTTTGTAGTAGTTTGCCTATATTTTTAGCCTATAATAGCAACATACTTATCTGTTTAGCCAATCATAACAACATACTTACCATTTTCAATCAATAATAGCAACGTACTTCTTTTTTTATTCAATAATAACAACGTATTTGCCTAATTTACAAATAATAGTAACATACATACCAATGTAATTTGTTAAGACATTTACAAAATGAACAATGTAGGAATTAATTTATGATGCAATTAAACAATAACTTTGACATTTTCTGTAATATTTTCCTGTTTTGAAATTGATTTCATATGATTTTTTTTAGTCGATTGTTATACTATTATTCATTCATATGTAATATAATTGGATAGATTTGTTATTCTACAATACTAATATGGGAACAAATGAAACTATAATCAACCCTTTTTTTGTTGGGCCAATCCCAAAAAGTAACAAAAAAAAATGGGAAGGTAGTGTGAAATATTATTTATGCGTCGTTTTTTCCATGTGAAATGATGTCATTGAAAAAAATGATGACATTTCAATATACTAAAATACTTGACACCATAAGGTATAAACCTCAGATGCGGAGTCAAAGATTGAGATTTAAACATACTGAAATACCTGACATCGGAGGGTATAAAGCATGAAATTTTAGTATATACTGAAATACCAGACACCATATGGTATAAAGATTGACATTTTAGTATATTGAAGTATCCGATATGCAAAGGGTATACATGTTGGTTGCAATATAAAAGACTTACCTGACACAGGTGGGTATAATCAACCCTTATTTTGTTGGGCCAATCCTAAAAATAACCAAAAAAAATAGGAAGATAGTTTGAATATTATTTTAACGCCTTTTTCCCCTGTGAAATTGATGTCATTGTGAAAAAATGATGACATTTCAGTATACTAAAATACACGACACGATAGAGTATAAACCTTGGTTACAGAATCATGGATGTAAGTTATAAAATATGGTTTAACTTATGTAATTTTTTTACAGTTCTTGTTTTTTACTTTTACATTTAGACTATTTGTGTTGATACTGGAGTCGATGCTTCTTATAATTCTAAGACCGACTTAAACGATGGGGAAGATAGTTAAGTAAGTTATAACTCATTTCTTATGATATAGAAAACATTATAAATCAATTATTTTCTCATGAACTTTTGTTTCATTCTATTTTGGTATTGTATGATGTAGGTGGTAATTAATAGCAATATACTTTGTGAGACCCATGAGAATAGCAATTTACTTTGTTAGGACATTTACAAAAATGAACAATATAGGAATAAATTTAGGATATAACAAAACAATAGCTTTGACCTTTTTGTAATATTTTCCTGTTCTGAACTTGTTTTCATTTAATTGTGTTTTAATCAATTGCTATTCTTTTATTTGATTGTATTTTAATCGATTGTTATTCTTTTATTCATTCATATGTAATATAATTTGATAGATTTGTCATTGTACATTGCTAATATGGGAGAAATGAAAGAAGGATGTTGTAGAAGACCGTAAACTCAATCTATTGTTTTTACAATTGCCAACCTGTCCATCGGACGAGTATAGCACTAGTAAATATTAGTAATATAGTTTAAAAGCCACATTATAATCTAAGATTGCAGGATAAGAAAAGCAAATTACTTATATTATATAAGGGAACGATGAAAGGTTAGATATGTACGTTAAGCAATGTGGGATAAATAGGAAAAAAAATCAAATTAATGTGGTAAAAATAAATCATTCATCTTGAACCACATTGATATGAATAACCTATTTTTTAAGATTTATATAAATATATAGATATAGATATATAAATATAGATTTTGATGATGTGAGACTTTAAAAATGTGTTATTTTCTTTCCTTATAACCCTTGTATTATTCAGTAGACTTTCCATTTCTAACTTACAATTTTAACTTGTGCTCAAACTGAAAGTTATATTGGATCACTTGAAGATTTTGGAGCATGATGATATTTAGAAGACCTTCTTATTGTTATGTTTGAAATAGTAATTAACAATTTACCTTTGTCTCTTCATTGAATTGTTAATCTTTGGTATACTCTTAACAATCAGATCTTAAAATTGTTAAAATATATGTTGTTTTGCGATGTTTTACGTACACAATCTTATTGAAAATGGTTTTTAATGTTTTAAAATATTATTACGAACTTCCCATACAAGTGATGTATCATACATGTAGAGATACATTGAAATTGACTGAGTGGAACGCTCTTTAGCATTATAAATATGGTGGTTTTATATGGAAATATGCTCGCGATCGAAGGATGAAAGAACATTGAAATCAAAATATTGAAGTTTTTAGAGTGATTGATGATAACCGAAAAGGAAAATGAGTATCTAAAGCTTTGATACAATATTATGATGGATATGAGATTGATTCAAAAATCAACCGGGATGGCATAGCTTAGGCAAATGCTTGATTTGGTTTCAACAAATCATGTTACAATCAATAATTATAATGAAGAAACGTAATTACAACACATATATGGAAAACATTATCTATCTAGGAATGTTAAAATGACAAAAAGAATCTATATAGTATCCAACATGCGCATAATACATTAACAACCTAAATGAATGTATGTAGTCTAAAAAGTAAAAAATTCTAACATGAAATTCAATAACAATTGATTGTTATTTTCTACAACATTAATTAATCACGATAATTATTTATACTTATGTATATATAAAACAACTAATTTCTATAGTGAATATGGTATAATATTTGACCGAATTTCATTTAATTATTTTATATTTTTAAGAACTAGATTTTATCGCTAAAAAAAAAATTCTAATGGAAAGATATTACATTTTAGAGTTTGTTATATTAGGGTTGGATCTCCAAAACATCCAATCAATTTTACGACCTCTTCTAGTAAAAACCCAATCTAAGATAAAAGCAAACCATAATAATTTAGTTTAGCTCTAAAAATCTATTTTTTTTTTTACTTTTTTTTGTTAAAACCCACTTGAATTTCAGTTTTTTAAGAAATAAAATTCAGCTCATCATCGACATTTGAAAAATAATTTGGTTTCTTTGTTAGATTCTATTGTGTCAATGTTTTCTTAGTTTTTTCCTTTTTCATTGTCACCGATCTTTTTTTAGATAAAACATGCTTTTTAAATCCTATTTCTAAATTATTTGTTTTGTCCACGCCATAGAACTTAAACTGTCAACCATTTACAAATGATATAGCTAGAACAAAACTATTCGCTATAAAGTAAAAAAAAAAAAGTATAAATAAAATAGATAAAAGATATTTTGTTTTTATTTTGGACCGAAGGACCCGCATTATATAAAAACCTACTTTGGTCGTAGGGATGTGAAAGTCGGCAGACATAAAACCGAACATCGTCGAAAACTTTTCCATTTACTCACAGTCTGAACACATAGGGATTTTCGCTTCTTTCTCAATTCATATACACTAAATCCCTTTAGAAAACTCTGCCAATCGATCGAGTGAATGGGGACCCCAAGAAAGATGTGGACATTAGAGGAAGAATCGGCCCTCCTGGCTGGAGTAGCCAAGCACGGTGCTGGAAAATGGAAGACCATCCTCACCGATGAAGAATTTGCACCTCGCCTAGTTAATCGATCCAATGTTGATCTCAAGGTTCATATCTACTCATTCTTTCTAATGTACCATCTGTTCTTGCTTCAATCGTATGTTTGCAAGTTGCCAACCTTGCATTTAGATTTATTGATTCGATTCTGCGAGGTTTTCATGCAAATCGGTTTAATTTTTTATCCTTTGCATGCCTTCATGGTATATATACATGCGAAGACACACACGAAGAGGTTTCTAGGAAAAGCCATATAGTCGAATGTGTGAGTGTAAACCTACTTGGGTGTGAACCTGCCATGAGTAGCTGTACCACCCTCTTTAGTTGACAAATGAATCCCTCCTTTGTTGACAATAAGAACTCAAATGGCAACTTCGTATGTTCACATAATGAACACGATAAATGGTAGCAGTAGTAATTGTAGACTTGTTTAAGTATAAATAGAGGCTCTAACCTCAGTTGTAAGACACCACAAACAGAGAGTGTAGTGTGTAATACTTAGAGTGAGTATTAGAGGGTTGTTTTTTTTTCTTGTAATATTGAGCGTGTAAGCTCTTCTTTTTTGTTCTAGTTCTGAATAAAAGTGTGTTTCAACCCCAACAAGTGGTATCAGAGCTTGGTTAAGCTCCGGGGGAAGCATTCTCTGTTTTTTGGTCGAAATTTTTTTGTCTCAAAAACAATTTCGGAGTACACCGTTGGAAAGGTCTCGTTCTGAGGATTCCGAAAATATATTTTTTGTGAATTTTTTGACCACCGGAATGCCTCCAAATCACCAGTCAAAGTTGGTCAAATCTGCCGGAAAAGTCGCCGGAAAAACCAGGGTTCGCCGGAGAAGACGGTACTGTAGCAGCATTGTAGCAGTGACATCAGCAGTGACGTCAGCAGCAGACCAAAGTTCTAGAAATTGCAGTTTAGCCCCTGTTCTTCCGGAAAGTGCAATTTAGCCCCTGTTTTTCAGAAAAATTGCAATTTTGGTCACGTTTTTCAGAAAAATTTCAATTTAGCCCCTGTTTTACTTCTGTAAAAGTTCTGTTTGCCCCCTGAACTTCTGAAAAGTTCATATTGGTCCCCGTACTTCAAAAAAAAAAAAAAATTCTTACTCGTGTATGCCCAAGTATATGCCAAGAATGACTACACCAACCTCGTCATCTTCTCAAGCCGGAGTTGAAAGTTTTCAAAGGACCGGGAAAGACGGTAGCGTTACGTTACACTATCCAATGCTCACGAAGATGAACTACGCGGTGTGGGCCATAAAAATGCGAGTGAATTTACAAGCACAAGGAGTATGGGATGTAATTAAAAATGCAGAAACGGACGAACGTAAAGATCGGATGCCTCTTGCGGCTATTTATCAGCAATTCCAGAGGACGTACTTCTGATGTTAGCTGAGAAGGACACAGCTAAAGAAGCATGGGAAACGCTCAAGATGATGCACATGGGAGCCGATCGGGTCAAGGAGGCTAAAGCTCAAACCTTGAGAAGTGACTTCGAGGTGATCCGGATGAAAGACAGTGAATCGGTAGATGATTTTTCCATGAGATTGAATACTATCGTAACCGGTATTCGATCTCTTGGTGAAAAGATTGAAGAAATTACGGTTGTGAAGAAGTTTTTGCGAGCCGTACCGATACGATTTATACAAATCGTAACATCGATCGAGCAATTCGGAGATTTGAAGAATATGACGGTGGAAGAAGTTGTGGGTCGTCTTAAGACCCATGAAGAGAGACTTCGAAGCTATGGAGAAAAAGAAGAAGGACCTTCTCTATTGCTTACACATGCCGAGTGGGCATCTCGTTTGAAGCAAACTGGCGAGAGAAACTCGTCAAACACTTCAAGAGGACGAGGAGGACATGGTAACCAAGGCCGGGGACGAGGCCGAGGTCGTGGACGTGGCCAAGGAGGTGGTCGCGAGTACAATACAAATCGGAATGACCATAATCCTTCTCGAAAGGATAAAAGTAAAATCAAATGCTTTACTTGTGAACAATTATGTCATTATGCTTCGGAGTGTCCAAACAAGAATCGAGGTGAGGAGGCAAACCTCACTCAAGCCAACGAAGAAGAGCCTATTTTAATGATGGCAACCTCACAAGAATATGCACACAAAAAAGTGTCTCTAAGCGAGAAGATTTGTGTTAATCTTCTTGCATCGGGAGAAAGTCGAGTCGAGTCTGAGGTATGGTATCTCGACAACGGTGCTAGCAATCACATGACTGGAGACCGCTCAAAGTTTCGCGAACTAGATGAGCACGTTACGGGCCATGTGAAATTTGGGGATGGTTCGACCGTCGCTATTTTGGGAAAAGGGTCGATTTTATTCGATAGCAAAAATGGCGACCAAAGACTCCTTAATGAGGTATATTTCATTCCAAGTCTAAAAAACAATATTATTAGTCTTGGACAAATGACGGAGGAAGGGAGTCGGGTCATAATGGATGGGTCGGATCTGACATTGTTTGACAGAAACAAAACTCTACTTTTGAGAGTTAAACGATCCCCAAACCGGTTATATAAAACTCCTTTAAGGACCGGTAGACCGACTTGTCTTTTAGCAACAAAAGACGAACCAGCTTGGATATGGCATTCTAGACTCGGTCATGTTAACTTTCTCGCCTTAAAGAAGTTGTCCGAAAAGAATATGGCAATCGGAGTCCCAAAGATTGAGCACCCAAACCAAGTATGTGAAGGGTGTGTTCTTTCCAAACAAACCCGAATTCCTTTCCCGGATCATGCAGTTTTTCGGGCTCAAAAACCTCTACAACTTGTTCATGCGGACTTATGTGGTCCGATCACACCTACGTCTGTTGGAGGGAGTAAATATTTTCTCCTTTTAGTAGACGATTTTAGCCGGTGGATGTGGGTTTACATGCTATCGGAGAAGTCTCAAGCCTTGAGCGCTTTCAAACGGTTCAAGTTGATGGTTGAAAAGAATTCGGGTTATAAAATAAAGACACTTCGAACGGACCGAGGGGGAGAGTTCACTTCAAAAGAATTCTCATTATTTTGTGAAGAAAATAGTATTCAAAGGCATCTTACGACACCATATTCGCCTCAACAGAACGGAGTTGTAGAAAGGCGAAATCGGACCGTTATGGACATGGCAAGAAGTCTGCTCAAAGGTAGAAATGTTCCGGGAGAGTTTTGGGGAGAAGCGGTTAGACATGCAGTTTATCTTCTCAACCGCCTGCAAACAAAAGTACTTCCCGACAAGACGCCTTATGAAACGTGGTTTGGCAAAAATCCCAACCTTGAACATCTAAAAGTTTTTGGTTGTGTTGCCTTTGCTAAACTTGTAGGTGGTTACTTGAAGAAGCTTGATGATCGAAGTAAGAAGATGGTGTATTTAGGTGTGGAAGATGGAACTAAAGGCAACCGTTTGTTTGATCCGCAAGACCGAAAGTTGCGAGTTAGTCGCGATGTTGTTTTTGACGAAAAAGAAGAATGGAATTGGTACGAAAACAAAGAAGAAGAGATGGCGACTCCTAAGACCTTTACCATAATTGAACCACAACCCCAAATACACCTCGAAACACCTCAAAATGACCCCGAAATCAATCTGGAACAACCAAACAGTCCAGGAATCGATGCTATCCAAGTTGGACAACCATATGCTGAATTTGACGAGCCTGAACCAGCTCCACATACTCCTGTCTCAGCCCCGTTTTCTTCAACCTCGCCCCATATGGAAAGCCCTTCTAGTGAGATTGGGCCAAGGGGATTGCGTCCGTTAACCGATATTTATTCTGAAACCGAAAATGTGTTCCTTGAACCCGGAGAATTGTTGATGATTGCAGCGGATCAACCCTTGAATTTTAAAGAGGCGGTAACCTCTAAGGCATGGCAGGAGGCTATGCAAACAGAGTTGGATGCAATCGAGAAGAACAAGACATGGCAACTTACCGATTTGCCATCCGGACACAAAGCAATCGGTTTGAAATGGGTGTTTAAAGTGAAGAAAGACAACTTGGGATTACTTTCTTACTACCTTGGAATCGAAGTTTCGCAAAAGAAGTGGGGAATATCTTTGCGACAAACGGCTTATGCAAAGAAGATTTTAGAGCAATTTGGGTTGCTGGATTGCAATCCGACAACGTCACCAATGGAACCTAAGTTGAAGGTTAAGAAGGATGAAGATGGTGAAAAAGTTGATCCAACTGAATATAGGCGAGTGGTAGGTTGTTTAAGGTACTTGACTCACACTCGACCAGACCTGTCATTTTCGGTTGGAATTGCAAGTCGTTTCATGGAGGAACCAACCACTTTGCATTTCCAAGTTGTGAAACACATCTTGCGATACGTAAAAGGAACCGTTGATTATGGAATCAACTATGGAAGAGGTCGTGAAATTGAAGATTTGGTTGGTTTTACCGATAGTGATCTTGGAGGTGACCCTGTTGATAGCAAGAGCACAAGTGGAATGATTTTCTATCTGGGAAGGAATGCGATAACTTGGCAATCCCAAAAGCAAAAGATTGTTGCTTTGTCCACGTGTGAAGTCGAGTTCATGGCAGCTACAACAGCAGCATGTCAAGCCATTTGGCTTGCTAATCTCGTGAAGGAGCTCACGGGACATCATATTATGCCTATCACCTTATATGTCGATAACAAGTCAGCAATCGCATTGATGAAAAATCCTGTGTTTCATGGTCGAAGCAAACACATTGACATTCGTTATCACTTCATATGAGAATGTGTTGAACGTGGGCAAATTATAGTGGAATATGTCAACTCGAAGGATCAACGGGCGGACATCTTTACAAAGGCTTTAGCATACGTGAAACATGGTGAAATGCGAAACATGATCGGAGTGACGAATCTCGAGCCAAGTTAGGTTTAAGGGGGAGAATGTGAGTGTAAACCTACTTGGGTGTGAACCTGCCATGAGTAGCTGTACCACCCTCTTTAGTTGACAAATGAATCCCTCCTTTGTTGACAATAAGAACTCAAATGGCAACTTCGTATGTTCACATAATGAACACGATAAATGGTAGCAGTAGTAATTGTAGGCTTGTTTAAGTATAAATAGAGGCTCTAACCTCAGTTGTAAGACACCACAAACAGAGAGTGTAGTGTGTAATACTTAGAGTGAGTATTAGAGGGTTGTTTTTTTTTTCTTGTAATATTGAGTGTGTAAGCTCTTCTTTTTTGTTCTAGTTCTGAATAAAAGTGTGTTTCAACCCCAACAGAATGTTGCGTTTTGGCTAACCTCAACACTCTTATTTTCCGATCTTGAGCTTCTAATATATAAAATGACCAGGTCTATTAATCTATACTTATCGAGCTTAAAGTAATATAGACACAACAATCTTGGTGTAAATTTCGCAACATAAAAATTATTTGGTTTAATGTGTAAAATTTAGGGTTTCTCATAAGATACGTATGATGCAGATGTGCAGGATTCGAATGGGTTGCATGACTCGTGGTCTTCAGCTCAAGTAGTATTAATTTATCTTTAAAACAAATAGTTGTGGATTTTATATATACCACTTACAAGAAAAAAAAAAGTTGCTTATTACGATTTGCATATAATTTTGAACTGATATATTCTTTTGATATACTCAAAAAAATAAATAAATAAAATAAAGTGAAAGGAATGCAATTACATCTGTCCATTCCAGTATTTTAAACTCTTGGATTAATGCATATGCGTACTTGTTTCACTGTGAGATTTGAAGATCCTGAAGCGTTAATTTCTTCTGCATGATATGTTTAATTATGTATGTATATAATTATCTTGATAAATTCAATGGGAAGTTCATGTTTAATTAGCTGGAGAACAAAATGAATTCAATGGGATGTTCATCATTAATAGTCGAAGAGATCAATCTGAATATCTTTTATACCATACAGTAATTTTACTTGGTTGACAAAGCTAACTCTAAATATGTAGTTATATTCTCTAAAAGTTGATGAAAAATTGAGTTTACATCCATAATACAATTAGTTGTAACATGATATACAAATCAAGTTTAGATCTACATGACACTTACAATTAAGGTATTGCAATCATTGTTGAACTATGACGTTCTTGTCGTACACAGATCGAATAGGGTACGGACATGAGTTGTGAATATTGAGGAGGAACATCTTTTCCCTAAATTACACATGAAATTGCCTTAATTTCCATATGATATGTATTAATTTTATTAATTATCATCTGCACGTACTTGCAGGATAAATGGCGTAACCTTAGCTATCATGTGTCGAGCAGTGCTTGGCCAGCTCCAGAAAGCTCATCAGATAATAACTATAAGGAAACTGGTCCTTGGTACGTATATTTTCTCATCATGAAAATTATGACATATTGCCATCGACATTTTAGTGGATTCTGAGTTTCTTAATGTTGTTATTCTATTAGGTACCATGATATGATTCTTGAAGCACTTTCATCTGTGGAGAACCCGGATGGAATTGATATCAATTCAATTCATTCCTATATTGAGGTTTAATCTATAGATCAATAGTTTTCTTTTGTTTACATATGTTGAACTAATTTATTGATTTTCTTTCTTGTTTATGTTATTTCTTAATCATATAGTAGAGCATTAATGCAATAAATCTCACAAATTATAAAGATATAGATGCTTGAATGTTTCTTATTCCTTATAGTTATAGATTATGTCTTCGTGAATCTTCTATATGATTATTCAAATAAATAGATTGTTTGGTGTAAAAACTTTTGGTTAGTCTATTAATAAAAATAGATAAACGACGATGTTTTTTAGAATTAATTTCCTTTTATTTTCACATGTTACAGCAAAAGTCTGATAAAAAGTTGCCAGAAATTTTCAGTACTTATTTGACAACAAAGCTCGAGAGAATGGCGACATATGGGAAAATAGAGAGGGTGAGTAGTTCTATTCATGAATCCATACCAAGCTTTTTAAATGTGTTCGGCTAATGATTTGGGAATCTATTTCATATGAGAATGTAAAGAACAATTTTGGAGCGTCAGATTTAAAATATCAATGATTCTTATTGAATCTTTAGTATTTCAAACTTTCAAAAATTAAAAGTATCTAATTATGGATAAGAATTGATTTCGATTCTCATAGAACCATTAGCTCTTTTGATCTGACGTTTTAAACCGTTCTTACCTTCAAACAATAGTTGTGATTATCAAAACAACTTATCTCTCGCTCTCTCATATATATATAGATATATATATATATATATATATATATATAATATATATAGATATATATATATATATATATATATATATATAATAAATCTTTTTCATAGTCATGAAAAAGCTAGTTTGTGGCCATGTATGTCTCTTTTCTTCTTGATAGATTTCATTTTCAAAAAAAATATAAGATTTTCATAATTATTGTAAAACACCTTTTAATTTATAAATGGTTATTAAAATGACAATGATAAAAAAAATAACCAAAAACTATTCTTATATTTAAATATAATATACAATTGTATACTTCTAATAAAAGTTACTAAGTTACTATCCTAAGAAGTCCCAACAATGGAAAAATGTTTATAGTTGGAATTTGTAAGTTATATTAAAAGTTAATATGTTGTTGGAGGTTTTTTTAATTTATTGCAACATTATAATATGTGAGTTATCATATAAACTTTTTTTGTAGGAATGATTAAAATTTTAATTTATCCATCAAAATGAACAAAGACGAACTTAAAAACAAGAGTTATGTCCTGAAAAAAAAATGATAAAAACTGACAACACTCTAGGGCCTAATTTCCGGACGGTCAAGTTTGATCAATGTTGAACTGTTTTGTCCAAATCTACTCAAGATCTTCGATAACAATGGTACAATTAAATATGCAGAATGGTAATCTTTACAAGATCAAACATGATGTGCCAGTGGATCATGAGAACAACAGTGATGAGCAACAGGAAGTCAACAACAATTCTGAAGAAACAGAGGAAGATTTGGCATCGTATGTTGCCTATCGAATTGTTGTGGCTGAAGACGCACAACGTAAAGCAATTGAAGCATGTAAAGAGGCAGATCGCTTGCAGAACCTTGTAGAAGAGAGTATGGCAATGCTAAAATTTGCTGAAGAGGCATATGAAATAGGTAATTACATTATGTTGCCTTGATTATTAATTAATCTTCATATTTTCTCTTTCATAATATGACCATATATTTAATATTGCAGCTTTAAGAGACGGGATTGTTCTTCTTCGTTGTGATTCTGATAGTGTGCATGAGTCAAGAAGTGTTTCATCGAATGATGATATTCCGGAAGAGGATTAGAAGATTTGGATCCATTAATTGTGCTCTATCTTTATAGTGTTATGTTCCTGGTTATTGGTTAGTCAAAATGTTGTTGTCTGTTGTGATGAGTCAAAACCGTTGTGTGTTATGGTGAGTCAAACCAGTTTCTTTGTTGATACTGAGTCATTCCGTCAAACTTTCGGGGTAGTAGATGATTATATGTATGCATCCAAATCTAGTTTATGTTGTATTTTTTGTTTTTATTTAGTTATATTCTCGTATGATCCTATGTTTCTTGTTGTAAGCTTCATAGTTTTGTTTTTTTTTTTTTTTTACTTAGCAAAAGTGAATGAGGAACCATATTGAAGCCATACTATAACCGGTTGTATTCGTTTTGGTTTTTGGTTCTAGATTCATTTAGAGTTTTAGGGGCTAATGTTAATGAATAGCAAGAAACTATCATAGTCCTTAATTGTGTTTTAGATGGGGGTTGATGAAGACCATCGATTATGCATTCAAAGTTATGGCAACCATTAATGGTAGATATTTGGTTTTGGATTCATGTAAAATCAAAGGAAAGAACTTTCTTTAGATGATATTTGTATCAATGGGACAAATCACTATCTAAAGCACCAAAATATTTTTGTAGTAATGGTTCCAAGGTTTGATTTAGTTTCGCTTCACTAGGATTTTGTTCATCTTCATCTTGAAGTATTTGATTTTCCAATTTCAAACATCGCCTTCAAATCATTGTCTTCGTCAACCAAAGCACCAAAAGATTTTTACATCAATGGTTTATTGGTTTGATTTATTTTCATTTCACTCGGATTTTGTTTGTCTCATCTTGAAGTTGTTGATTTTCTAACTTTGAACATCGCCTTCAGAGGGTTCCGTCTAGTTTGAAGGGTTTTAAATTTTTGAATCTAAAATAGTCGTGATTAAAGTTGTTTTAAGGTGTAAGAGTTTAAAGCGAGACACAATTGCCAATTCTACTATGAACGTCGAGTATATATAAGATCATGAAGTATTCTTAGATTAGGAAATTCATTTTTAATCTTGGGATCATTGTCAGTACAATCGTTAAGGCAAAGGAAATAAAAATAGATAAACGAATATACTTTTTAGAATTAATTTCCTTCTATTTTCACATGTTGCAGCAAAAGTCTAATAAAAAGTTGCCAGAAATTTTTAGTACTTTTTTGACAACAAAGCTCGGGAGAATGGCGACATATGGGAAAATTGAGAGGGTGAGTAGATCTATTCATGAATCCATACCAAGTTTTTTAAATGTGTTCGGCTCATGATTTGGGAATCTAGAATGTAAAGAACAATTTTGGAGCGTCATGTCACGGACCGTATCTAGAATTTTCTGGAGTACTCGAGAAGTTAATGGAGTATGATGGATAAACCCGGAGAAGACTGGAACATCCTAGAATTCTCTAGGACACCAAAGACTTAGCTAGTTCTTTATGGAAGCATGTAGGCATGTAAATATCTAGATAGATTGATCTTGAATAATCTTCTATAAAGAAAGAAGTAGTAGCGTCTAAAATATTCTGATGAGGAAGTGTAATGACCTTATAAATAGGGGTGTTGTCATTTGTTCCAAACCATCGAGAAGTTCTCTTGTAAGAAGTTGAGTAGTATACAAAGAAGCTTTCTTTCTTACTTTAAAAGTGTTCCTTCTCGTTTCTCTTGCTTCCTTGAGTCGTTAGTACATCTTGAGTTTCTAAGTTAGCCTGACTTAGTCAAGAAATACTAAGTGGCACACGGTGATTGAGTCATCTCGTGACACGTGGTATCAGAGCCAGAGTTCATACGAGCAAGAGATGGTAGCAATGGAAGGAGGAAGTGATGTAGCTAACATTCCCCATGTTGTCGAGGAGAAAGGAAGGAAGTCCAAGAAGAGGGACCAATCAGTAGATACCTTGGCGAGCTTAGAAAACAAGCTTACCAAGGTTGAGATTAGCGTCGGTGAGATCCGTGAATGGAAGGATATTGTCGATCAGTCCGTCAACGACATAAGAGACACGAGTGATGGAATGAAGGAGTCCATCAGTGTTATCAAAGAAGAAGTCCTTGAATTGATCAACACGTTGCAAAATGAGTATCGTGAGAAGGTAGCTGCATTAGAAGCTGAAGTAAACATGTGTAAAGCAGCGATAGTCGGAGGAGCTGTTGCGAAGACAACACCACACACAGAGGCACCTAAATCGTTGAAATATGGAGGTAAGCATGATCCTAAATTACTTGAAGAATTTTTATGGTCCCTAGAATGCTATTTCAATGCTATCGGAGTAAAGGAGGACAAGTCCAAGATAGACACAGCCGTATTATACTTGAGTGAAAATGCCGCACTATGGTGGAGGCGGAAGCATGGCGACATTGAGAAAGGCCTATATGGCATAGACACTTGGGATGCGTTTAAGAGACAACTTAAGAAGCAGTTTTGCCCCCATAATGTTGAAGACGTGGCCATGAAGAAACTTCGAGGACTAAAACATGTTGGGTCAATTAAAGACTATGTGGCAGAATTCACCGCTTTGATGCTCGAACTACCTGACCTCCAGGAGAAGGACAAATTATTTTACTTCCAAGATGGACTGCAATCTTGGGCTTATAATGAGCTTAAGAGAAGGAACGTCCAGGACGTCGATGAAGCGATAGCAGTGGCAGAGGATCTCATGGACTTCCATAGATATGCTCCAACCAGAAGGCCTAGCAAGGGAGATAAACCCGCAACAAGGCCACAAAGAGAAGATAGGCCGACTACTAGACCCTCACCTTCGAAGGTAAAGTAAATTGAAGGAGTTCCCCAAAGAGAAATCAAGTGTTACTTGTGTGATGGCCCACACTTAATCTGAGACTTTCCAAAGAAGAAGACCTTTAATGCCTTGGTCTTTGAAGAAGAAAAGGAAGAAACTGAAGCGGCACAGATTAGCTCAATGCGTCTACTCAACTCGGTGGCCAAAGAAGTGACCAAGACGAAAAAGGGAGGAGGTTTCATGTTCGTGAAGACTAAAGTAAATGGAGAGACCACTAAAGCCCTAGTCGATACAGGTGCATCTCACAACTTTCTTACTGAAAACGAAGCCAAGAAAATGAAAGTTCAATATACCAAGGAGGTAGGCTGGTTGAAAGCAGTAAATTCTCCATCCGAAACCATCCTTGGAATCGCCCACAATGTGCATATCGAGATAGGAGGATGGACAGGCACCATAGACTTAACAGTAGTTCCTATGGACGATTATCGCATGGTGCTAGGGATGGAATTCCTAGATGAATCCCGCCCTTTTTCGTTTGCAGATCAAACCATGCGCCTCACCAAGGGTTCTACGATTCACATCGTACCCTTAGAAAGAAGCAAGACGTATTCCCGAATTATATCGGCCATGCAACTTAGAAAAGGTCTTCGAAAGGGCGAGATAACACTCCTAGCCACGTTAAAAGAAGAAGCCGGCCTATTGGCGATGGAAGTACCAAAGGAAATCAAGGAAGTACTTGAATATTTCAAAGAGATAATGCCACCAGAATTGCCCAAGAAATTACCCCTAAGACGAGAGGTGGATCATGAGATAGAATTGGAACCAGGTGCAAGACCACCAGTGTTGGGGCCTTACCGAATGGAACCTCAAGAATTAGAGGAGCTAAGGAAACAGTTGAAAGAGTTACTAGACGTTGGATTCATCAGACCTTCCAAAGCTCCGTTTGGCACCCCGGTGTTGTTCCAAAGGAAACATGACGGTAGCCTAAGAATGTGTATTGACTATCGAGATTTGAATAAGGCAACCGTTAAAAACAAGTATCCCATCCCCTTAGTAGCTAATCTCTTCGATCGACTCACAAATGCTCGCTGGTTCACAAAGTTGGATCTACAGTCGGGGTATTGGCAAGTTCGCATAGCTACAGGAGATGAGCCGAAGACGATGTGTGTGACCAGGTATGGATCATTTGAATTCTTGGTCGTGCCCTTTGGACTCACGAATGCACTAGCCATATTTTTCACCCTCATGAACAAAATATTCCACCCGTTCTTGGATAAGTTTGTAGTAATGTATCTAGACGACATCGTGGTCTACTCAGAAACATTGGAGGAGCACGTAGAACATCTAAGGTTGGTTTTCCAGTCATTAAAGGAAAACCAATTATATGTGAAGATGGAGAAATGTTCTTTTGCCCAACACGATGTAACATTCCTTGGGCACAAGATTGCGGATGGGAAGATCTACATGGATGAAAGCAAAATAAAAGTGATTTCAAAGTGGGAACCACCTAAGAACGCTTCCGAACTATGATCATTCCTAGGTCTGATCAATTACTATCAACGATTCATATCAGGATACTCGGCAAGGGCAGCTCCACTAACTGATCTACTTAAAAAGAAGGTCGCATGGGAATGGACGGACAAGTGTCAAGAAACGTTTGAGGAGCTAAAGAAGGCCGTCACAAAAGAACCAATTCTAGCGTTACCCGATTACTCCAAGCCCTTCCAGGTGCAAACCGATGCATCAGACTTTGCTATAGGCGGTGTTTTGTTACAAGAAGATCACCCGGTGGCCTATGAAAGTTGGAAACTTAATGAGAGGGGGAAAAGGTTTCTGATACATGATAATGAGATGATAGCTATTATATATTTCCTTCGAGTATGGAGACATTATTTACTTGGGAATCGGTTTGTGATTCAAACTGACCATGTCGCGACCAGCTACTTTCAAAATCAGAAAAAGCTAAGTCCCAAGCAAGCCCGTTGGCAAAATTTCTTAGCTGAGTTTGATTATGTCATGGAGTATAAGCTAGGGAAGGAAAATGTCATCGCCGATGCCCTAAGTCGGAAAGTGGAATTGGCAACCATCTCTCGGGTAACCTACACCTTTGTTGATCGCATCAAAGAAGGGATAAGTCTTGACCTGTTAACAAAAAGCTTAATAGAGATGGCCAAAGAAGGGAAGACCCAAAAAATTTGGGTCGAAGATGGACTCTTACTCATTGTCAGCAATCGAATGTATGTTCCGAAATGGAACAACTTAAGGAGAGAATTC